AAAACCCTGCTGGGTGAAACTCGAGCTTACAGGAAGATTGAAGGTTCCAACCATGACATAGCTGTTGGCATTCCGGTCATGCATAGAGGCTCCAGGACCCCGAGTACCAGGCAGGGGTCCCCCACCATGGGTCGCTGAGGCAGACCCTGTGCCAGAAGACGCTCCAGAAGGGAGCTGAGTCTGAGGAGGAGCCCGCTCCACCAGGTGGATAACCTTTCCCCCAACATCTGCAGAAAAAAAGATATACACCATAACATTACATGAGCAGGGAAACTCATGCTTCAGCTCATACCTCTGGAAGGCAGCCTAACCCCTGAACTGCCTCCCCGGCCCCTTACTGTATTCCTGGAGTTTCTTATCATCTTGCAGAACTCGCCCCTGGTAGATGAGCCGTTGTTTCTCAGAGGGAATACTGACAGAGGACGCAATGTGCTCCTTAAACTCCTTTACATTCATCTGCAAGAACAGTCAAAGATAGAAACCAGAGAACAAAGGAAAAAGGAAGAACAAAAGAGAAATAACTGACTTGAGGTGAACAGTAAAAACCACTATAGCGGCCAGGCATGGTGGTGCACACTTGTAATCCCAGCACTCAGAGGCTAAGGCAAGAGGATCACTGCAAGTTCAAAGCCAGCCTGGGCTACATAGTGAGTTCAAGACCAGCCTGAACTACATAGTGAGACTTTGTATCAAAAAAGTAAACAAGTACATAAATATAACCATATTATAGAGTCACTACCAATTTGTCTTGATGAAATAGTGCAATCGTTTTTTTTTCTTTTTTTCATACCAAAGATCAAACTTAAGGCCTTGCGTTTGTGAGGCAGGCGCGGCGACACTGAACTAAATTCCCGGCCCATCCAATTTGACTTGATTGTGCCGCAATTATGGTGCAAAGCCCTGAGCCAAGACAGCACATGTCAAAACACAGACAATAAACTTAACAGAGCTCAGGGTACAGGCTTACGAGAAAATTACAAGGATGAGAAGAAAGCCAGGAAGACACAATGGTGTGTGCCTGTATTTCCACCACTCTGAGAAAGTGAGGCAGGAGGACTAAAAGCTCAAGCCCATCCTAAGCAATTTAATGAGACCTTGTCTCAAAATAAACAACAAAGGGCTTGGGATGCAGCTCAGTGCCAAGGACCTGGGTTCAAACCCTAATACTACAAAACAAAATAAAGCCAACTAACATTCCTTTTCTCCTCCTTGGCCTGGCTCCCAAAGGAATGTGTTCAGAAATACCAGTGACCCCTTCCTAAACACAAAATGACACTAGTTTACTCATCCCGTGTTATCTCAAAGGTAAAAACAAAGGTAAGAAGGACAGAATGGGGAATCAAGTTAAGGAAGACTGAAAGGTAAGAAGGGTACAAAGGGCTGGAGATGTAGCTCAGGGGTAGAGCATTTGCCTAGCAAGCACAAGGCTCTGGGTTCCATCCCCAACATCGCAAAAAAGGAAAAAAAAAAATTTCCCCTAGACAAATGACTCTGGGAAAATACCAGAGCATTTACATATCTGTACTAATCACAAAAACCTATTTTTTGGGGGTCTTTTTGTTTTTGATACCGGGGATTGAACTTGGGACCTTGAGCTTGTGAAGCAAGTGGCAGCACCACTGATCTAAATCCCTGGCCATTTTTTTTTTTTTTTTTTTTTAATTAAGGTTCACTTTTTTTTTTTCTTCCTTTTTTCGTGCCGGGGATCGAACTCAGGACCTTGCGCTTGCGAGGCTGGCGCCAGAACCACTGAGCTAAATCCCCGGGCCATCCCTGGCCATTTTTTTTGCCTGTTTTTTGAACCAGTCTCACTACGTAGCTCAGGTTGGCCTCCTCCAACTCATGGTGATCCTCCTGCTTCAGCCTCTTGAGTGCTGGGGTTACAAGTGTGCACCACCATGTCCAGCAGTTTTCTTAAATATATGCTTAGGAATCTAAAGATCAACCCCGCTCATGATTTTGTCTCTAAGAACTACAGGGAGTAAAAATACAGGTAACTGTGTTTATGGCATTAAATTCAAGAGGTGTGTATTGCACCACAGGTACTAATAATTCCACCCACTAGTCCACTAGGGCCCTATGTGAATATGGGTTCTGGCTTCTAGATTTTATAAACACACACTATAACTGTAGTCAAGTTGTTTACAAACACCTGTTTGAAGCCTCTGTGTTGTTTCCCTTCCCAAAGGCTGGAGCCCATCCATGGTGATAGCAAAAAAAATCCTACTTTCTTTGTACTTCCTTCTGCATTGAGTGCTATAAAGCTGAAGAAAGGCACAACAAAATCTGCCTCACTCACAGTAACTATACCTTTTCACTTAACAAAAAACAACAGCATAGCGCCAGGGATTTAGCTCAGTGGTTTCGGCTCCTGCCTTGAAAGTGCAAGGTCCAGAGTTCGATCCCCAGTACCAAAAAAAGAAAAAAAAAAAACGTGTTTCAAAAAAATCAGCATATATTTTATCTAAAATATAAACAAAGGAATCCAAAGGAATCAATGAAGATAAAATCTTAAGACAAAATCAAGCTCTTCTCTCAGTCTAAGGGAGGAAGAGGAAGAGCTAAGGTTTCTTCCGGAAGTATTGGGGTCTCACCTGGGCCCCTACAATAAAGGTCCGAGTCTGAGAGTCCAGGGTCTTCACCAGCACTTCCAGGCTGTCAGGCTCCTCCATAGCGGTACTGGGACTATCACTGGGCTCCATGGCCAACAGCTCCCTAAGGAAGAACGAACGGAGGGAGACCTAATGTAACCTTTAATAGATTGCATACACCCAGAAGCCTCCCTGGCCTGAATCCCCGCCCCAATACCTAAACAGTTTCTCCTGCTCAAGCACACACACTCACACCCGCCCCCATCCTCCTCCTGATTCCGGGGGACAGGGAGAGAAACACAAAGGGCAGGGATCGACGGCGTAGGGAGTTGAAGGACGGGAGGTGGGAGGGGCTCCACAATGCCAATCACAATAAGGGAGGGCCAGTTGGGCCAGGAATCAAGGAAGACGGCACGAGACCAGAGACCAGTGTCATCACCGGTCGAGACAGGGCAAGGGTCCCAGAGACGGGCAAATCCCGGGCCGATGCGACAGCAGGGGTCGAGTCAGACTCGGCGGAGAAAGTGGCTTCGCGCACGCGCGCCACGCCCATCGAACCCGCCTAAATCACTACACACCCAAGACGCCGGACACTCACGCGGGGCTGGACCGGCAGGCGGACTGCCCCCCTCTTCTGCCTTCCTTCGGTGTCCCGGCAGAGCCGCACAACCAACACGCGGCCCAGCACACACATACACACACACACACCCCACTGCCCTCCGGCTCCGCCCCCGACTGACCCACCGTACCGTCACTTCCGGTCTCCCCCAACCTGCCACCGAAAGCCACTTCCGTTTCCCCGATCGTATTTGGAGATCTCGAGGCAGTACTTCCGGCTCCCCCCAGGTCTTCAAGATTTACTTTTGTAGGGCGCGATGACTAAGTCCGCGGCCCTTAACAGAGTTCCTGGGGAAGACCGGCGGGGACCGGCCTGGATGGGAGGGAGCCGAGCACCGTGAGGAGCCGCCGCTGCCGCCGCTGCCGCCGCCCGGGGGACCTTACTGCGCTTGCGTGAGTCGCAGTACGCATGCGTACACACAAAAGCAACGCCCCCACCCCCATTGATTCTGTGCGCTTCGCCGGTGCAGCGTGCAGGAGGCTACTGTAAATGCCTAAAGGAAATAAGTAAATACTGTAAGAGATACGCCGGCCTCGAGCGAGACTTGGGCGGTCGTGTGGACCTTGCGTTTGCAGTCTGGGGATTGCCCTCGATAATCTACGTTAACGGTCTGGCGGGCAGATCCCTTGGGCGGCACTGCCCTGGCCACCTAAAGCTCTCGGGCACCCCCTGGCGGTGGCTGCGCCCTCCGCTTCGCGCCGCGGAAGTCACCCCATCGCTGGCGGTTCGGGAGGCGCGAGGGCTGATTTTGCTTCCGGTGGCGTCGTCAGGCCGGGTCCCGGTTCGGTCGGGAGGGCGTCTGCGGACTGTGGGCTTCACGTTCGTCAGCAGCGGAGCGCGGCCGAGGGAACACGCCATATTTTAGGAAAGCTAAACATGCCACTGCTTTTCTTTTTTTTGTTTTGGTGTTTTGGGTACGGGGGATTGAACTCAGGACCTCGTGCTTGCAAGACAGGCGCGGTGCCACTAAGCCAAATCCCTGGCCCTAGCTTTTTAGGACTTTCGTCAAGCAACGAGGCATCTTCCACGCTGGGAGGCTGAGGCAGGAGGATCGCGAGTTCGAACCTACTCTGGGGGACTTAGTGAAATCCTATCTCAAAAATTAGAACAGGGCTGGGGATGTAGCTCATTACAAAAGCCCAGAACAGAAAAAGGGGTCGGGGGAGAAAGGGCACCTCTGAATTGGTACCAGAAGTCTGACTGGACTGACAACAAGACCCTGACACTTGAAGGATCCGTATAGCAAGTTCCGGAGGGCTGGGGGATTACATCCTTTTGCCCTCTCCCCTTCCTTCCCCACCCTCCTATTTGTTCCCAGGTGCCAGTATTGTTGAGTTTCAGTAAACACCTGTTTAGTGAGCGCTTACTTTGTACCAGCCATTGAGCTTACAACTGTAGTCCCACCAGTTGGGAGGCTGAGGCAGGATTGCTGCAGGTTTGAGGCCAGCCTGCACTACGAGTACGTGAGATGCTGTCTCAAAACACCAGTAACAATAAAAAATAATAATAATAATACATTGAGCCTTTCAACAACCGAGACTGGTATTAACTTCCATTTTATAACTGACCACACAGGTGAACTCATGTAGCAGAACTGACAAATCCAGCCCTACAGCCTTTGGATTGAGCTCTTTTACTTTACTGTCCCCAAATTATTGTATTTTATTTTTTGTACCGGGGGATCGAACTCGGATCCTTGCGCTTGTGAGGCAGGCAGTGGAACCACTGAGCTAAATCCCCAGCTTTATTTTAGTTTTTTATTATAAAAAATTTCAAGGGCTGGGGTGTAGCTCAGTGGCAGTGCTTACCTAGCATGCAAAAAGCCCTAGGTTCCAACCCTTGCACTGGAGAAACAAAAATATTTGAACAACACTCCCAAAATAAAGTAGGATAATTAATTCTGATATCCTCATGGCCCAGAGTTTAACTAAATCATGAGCTGATAGCAAGTCTTATCTCTCAGGACAAGTCTTTCTGTGGCAGCTGATGAGTTATGAATAATCTTATTAAGGAAACCTCGTGGCATTAACTGCTGCACCCACTCAGCACTCTGCAGGGACTCTGGACGATTCTTCCCACATTAAGGATTTATTACCAACCCAAAATGTAATGAGTGCTTTGCAAACATTGCTATTAATTGCAGCGAATATTTAGACTTGCCATGTGCCAGTCTGTGCCAAACACATCCTCTGAGGTTGATGATTTGCCCATTTTACAGACAAAAAAGGAATATGTAGAGACTAGTAAAGGGGCCCCAACTCTAATTCTGCCTGACACCAGTGTCCTCTTTAACCATTAGATTATGTATCTTTTTTTTTTTTTTTTTTTGAGGCAGGGTTTCACTATGTAGTTCAGGCTGGCGTTGAACTTGCAGCTACCCTACTGCCTCATCCTACCGAGTTGCTAGGATGACAGGTGTGCACCAGCACGTCCAGCTGAAGTAATAAAGGTTGTTTTGAAGTAATAAAGGTTGAGTAAATGAACTCATGTCAGCCAGCTTTTCCAGGGTGGGTACCTACTGTTTCCCAATTATAGTAACATAAACTTCAGAAAAATCCACCATACCCCTGTGACTGGTTCATACCTGTTTTGAAACACGTATCAGGCTGGGCATGGTGAGGCATGCCTGTAATCCCAGCACTTAGGAGGCTGAGGCAGGAAGATGGCCACAAGTTTGAGGCCAGCCTGGGCTACACAGTGCGATCAAGGCCAACCTGAACTACAGAGCAAGACCCTGTCTCAAAAAAAAAGAAAAGACCTATCAGGCTGTATTGCAATGATTTGTTTACACACCTAGTTTTCCCTCTACTGATTTCTTCAAGGCCAGATAGTGTGTCTTAGTCATTTTTTATGTCCACAGGGATTAGCCATTTCCTGGCAAACAGCTGGGATCCAAAACAGTTTAAGTGAATGAATGAATGAAAGACCTCAGCAAGCCACTTCTTTCCAATGCCTCCCCACACAGCAGATCTCCAGCTCATTTTTGGGTTGAAAGATCAGCGGCTTCTACTTGCCGGCTCAGTTCTCTCAGCTCCTGAGAGGCCCCGCCGGGCCAGGCGGTATTGTGGAGGGGATGTGTCCAGAAGAGGGAGAGGAAGGCCCCAGCACGGCAGGTTAGAAAACAAGACTGAAGTTATTCATTAGCAGCTGATGGGTCAAGGGTCGAGGCAAGGAGGCTGGAGGCAGAGTGGACTGAGCAGCCAGAGGAGAGAGCAGCTAAGGCACAGTCGACCTGCGAGCACCAGCTCCGCCTGCCTGAAGATGTTCCACCAAGTCTGGGCGGCTCTGCTGTACCTCTGTGGCATCCTTCTTAACTCCATCTACCAGTGCCCTGAGCATCCTCAGCCGACAGCTCTGGAGATGGATGAGAAAGAGGTATGGACGGAGAATGGGGGAAGCCTATGGCGAAGCACTTGGGTGGACAGCCTAGGATGAGCAGAGCCATGTTGGGAGGAGGAAGGGGTGAGGGTTTGGATGAGCCATGAGAAGAAATACCTGTATTATGGCTATCAGTAGGGAAACATGGCCAAATTGGGAAGATGGGATGGCTATCCAGGTCGGCTGGGGATGGACAAAGGGGAGAGTCATTTCATGAGTCCTTGTCACAACCAAACACCCCTATGTGGTGGAAGAAGGCTGCCCGCACCCCTGCTCCAGGCTTGCCACGCTGACCAGTGCAGCATTTGGATGCATCCTGTGTGGGACCCACCAAACCCCCTCTTCTTCTTCCTTTGTCTGTCCAGTTCCCAGAGCCCCACCTGGGCCGATGGTACTTCATCGCCGGGGCAGCTCCCACCAAGGAGGAGTTGGCAACTTTTGAGTCTGTGGACAACATTGTCTTTAACATGGCTGCTGGCTCCGCCCCGAGGCAGCTCCAGCTTAGTGCCACCATCCGCACGTAAGTGGTGAGGGGGCACTAGCAGCTGCGCCATGCTGAGCTGAGCTGAGCAGCCATCTCCAAGGGCTGGGTCCGGCCCACTGGATCCAGTAGCTCTTCCAGGTGCCCTCTGCCCCTCGGTAGCTGGAAACACAAAGGGAGCTGGGCGTGGGGAAGGACTAAGATGAACAGAGGTGGGATCTGTGTCATTAGGGTGACACTCAGTCTTTTCTCCTGGCCACCACCTCTGCAGGAAAAATGGGTTCTGTGTGCCCCGGAAATGGATCTACCACCTCACTGAGGGGAGCACCGATCTCAGAACTGAAGGTTGGTTCCCACCAGCCCTCACGCTTCCCAGCCCCTCTCCCCAGCTTGATTCTGCATCTCTGTCCTCACAATTCCCCGACCCTGTCCGCCCCAACAGGCCGCCCTGACATGAGGACTGAGCTCTTCTCCAGCCCATGCCCAGGTGGAATCATGCTGAAAGAGAGGGGCCAGGGTTACCAGCGCTTTCTCCTCTACAGTGAGTAGACGCGAGGCAGGAAGAGTTAGGAGACAAGGGAGGACGGGCCCCTTTCCCTGGGCCTTTCACATTCTCCCAGCGTGGGCTGGGCACTTCCCTGAAGTCCCTGGGGATGGTGCTGAGGAGCACGTCACCGGCCCGCTGCGCCCTGCCCTCCAGATCGCGCCCCACACCCTCCAGAGAAGTGTGTGGAAGAATTCCGGTCCCTGACTTCCTGCCTGGACTCCAGAGCCTTCTTGCCGGTTCCCAGGAACCAAGGTAGGGGCTAAAGTCTCCCAGAAGCGACTGGGACCGAGCAGGTCCTGTGCGGGTGCTGGAAGAGGGGCTCAGGCGATCTCAGCAGAGCACATGGCCACAGGGCACACGTCACAGTGGCTGTGTCGGCATTTTTACCTCTCCTGGGCTGTGGCGGCACCAGCGACACGGGCTAAAAGGTGCAATGCCACACAAGGGGACGAGGATGGGCCATGGGCTACTCGGAGGATAGGATTCTGAGTCAGCAGTGGATAAGGGGCAGAGGGTCAGGCACGCAGGGGGAGGCCCCCAGTAACCCTCTGACACGGGAGCAGGCACCCCATGAGCACCAGCCTTGCTTCTGCGCTTAGACTGCCTGTCCCTCCTTTCTTCCTCCTCTGGTCTCAGAGCCCTGTGAGCTGTCCAGTCACTGACCTGGAACTTCAGCCATGGCCCCAGGCAGCCACGGTGGGAGCTGAGCTGCTGACGGGAGGAAAACGGGAGACTCCTTTTATGGATAATAAAGATGATTTTTCACTCCTCCCCTTGATGCCCGTTTCATTTCAACACCCTGCCGGGCCCCTCCACCACCTACCCCCTGCTGGACAACGTCAGAAAGGACACCACATGGCAGGCTTCTCACACTGCAGTGGTGTGTTTAGGATTTAGTGTGACACAGGTATTTATTGCTGAGTGAGCAAATCCCTGGCCTCTGAGTGGAGACTCCAAGCTCCGTCCCCTCTCCCTGCCTGGGCTGCTGGCTCTTCCAAGCTGGCCTTGAACAACACTGCCCCCACCGTCCCACTCCCTCTGGCTCCAGTGAGCACCAGATCTTCCCTGCAGCCTTCTTGTCCTCAGTGGCCCCATTCCAGACCCTCTAATCCACCGGCCTAGCACCCCCACTTCTAGGGAAGCCCCTTCTCTTCCCTAGATGGCTCAGGTTCCAGGATCCCCCCAGGGAGTTTGGAAAGGTAGAGAGGATGCTCTGGTCTCTATTCTCCACTATCACACCTTTTTGGGGGGGGGGCTTTTAAAAAGAGGTGGGGGGGAACTATAGGTGAGAGGAATATAAAAGCAAAAAGTAACAACAGCTGGTGAATCCAAGGCAATGCCCCACCACCCACAAACATAGACCCCTAGCAGCTCTGTTCTCCCCTGTGTAGGAAGGAGGCCCTGTGCCCTCAGGCTCGGGGGTTTCTTTCCCATCCCTGAGGTCCCTGGGCCTAGGACGACTCTGCTGTCCTCCTAAAGGCTGCACTAGCGTCACTGCCCGCAGCCCGCCCTACAGCCCCAGCGCCTCCCCTGGTTCTCCCCTCTGCTCCTCACCCTCCCTCCCCAAGCCCTGGCCTTCCCAGTCAGTGGCGGCTCTATCCCCACGGGGCTCCCGGAGGCTGACAGCCAGCACCAGAGCCTGCAGGAGGCCAAAGAGGCCGGCGAAATGCAGCGGGTGGGCGGTAAGCAGGCTCAGCACGGCGTGGAGCCCGTGCAGGGCGGCCAGGAAGGACAGCAGCCCGTGCAACCAGAGCCCCAGGGGTCCTCGAAGGCCCAGTGCATCCAAGGCTGCGCGCAGCGGCCGGGAGCACAGTGCCAGCAGGCTTGAGGCCAGCAGCTCCAGCAGGTGCAGCGTCAGGTTGGTGGAAATCTGCAGGCACTCCTCGGGGTCCCCTGGGTACCGTGGGGGAGCCCCCGGGTCCCCTCGCAGCCAGCCCAGCAGCTTCTGGCGCCGGCCGGGTCTCTCCACCGGGGCTTCAGGCCCAGGGGCGCCCAGTCCCTCTTCGAGGGAGGCCCTGGGGCTCAGGGTGCCCCCCGCGTCCGCAGGAGCCCGTCCCAGTGTTGGAATGGCTCCTCCGGCTTCCAGTCTCCCAGACTCTTGAGTGCCGGCGGCAGACGTGTCCCACTTGCGGGAATCCATTCTTTTGCTCCCCGAGTGCTCAACTTGGGGCTCCCTGCGCAGCTCTGCAGCAGCCCTGGAGCTCCTCAGTGTCCCCGAGTCCTTGGTCTTGGGAGGCCCCACGTCTCCCATGGTTTCGGGGGCACTGTCCCAGTCACTCCCTGAATTCTCAGGGGAGCTCTCCGCCCATCTGGCTTCTGGGGCAGGCGGGTCAGACCGCGCCGGTTTCCGGCGGCCCCAAGGGCGAGGTAGCCAGCCACCAAGCCGGCGCAGGAACATGGCTGGGATGTGCCGCGAGCTCCCCCAATCCCGGGGCCACTTTCGGGCTCTTCTCAGGCCTCTTCAGAAGCCAGAATCTGCTCAGGTCCAGAACAGGTATCTGCTGGCGATACCGGCTCCTCTGCACTCGGAAGGGACTCCCCAATTCCCCCAACGGTCACCAGCCTCCAGTGTGGCCTGGCTCCTTTTCAGTTCGCGGTAGAGAAGGGCACACCACCACCCACAAGACTGCAAGTCCCAGGGTCTCACCAGGCCTGGCTCACCCCTACAGTAGCCTCTGTGTTTTCGGATTTCCTTCCCAGCAGGCAGCACCCCAAGTTTTACTCACCGAGGCCACGCCCCAAGGTGCCCCAGAAACTGGGGAGGAGGTGCTCCATCAAAGAGGGAAGGAAGGTGGCCAAGGTTCCTTGGGTCCGCCCGGATCTGGGGAGTCTTAAACTGCTCCCCGAGGGAGCTCACGGAAGGAAGTCTCTGTGGGGAGCTGATGAAGGTCCCCAGCAACCTCCAGCCAGTAGCGTCGGTCCCTTGATTTAGGGGGCGACGGTTCCTACGAAGTGGCCCCGCCGGGCTCGGAGAAGCGGCCTCGGCAAGGTCGGGACGGAGACGTCCTTGGAGATCGCGGTCTCCAGCGCGGCGCGGGCCTCCGGGGCCCAGGCGTTCGGACGCTCCGCACCGGGCGGCCCTGAGCCCAGCGCTGGGCCGCGGCCTCGCCAGCCGCCCCGAGCCGCGGAGCCGGAAGCAGCTGCACCGGCGGGAGGGAGGCGGGGCGGAGCCCGGGCTGGGCGGACCCTGCGGCTCGACCTCCCGGCGCCCCGATCTCCGGGCCGGGGCGGCGGGGCCCACGGGCCGCCCCGAGAGCCGGCTCTGCGTCTGCGCCGCTCCGCCGCCCCGACCCGCTGCTCCCCTGCATTCGCCTTCTCCTGCGCCCCGCCGACTTTCGCCTTCGACTGCACGAAAGGCTTTTCCAGAAACTGGAAGAGAGGAGCCTGGCGACTCGGCAGCCCTTCTTGGCCCTCCCCGTAGGGGTCGTGAGCTCTCGGTGGGCTCAGAAGCTGGAAGGAGCTTGGCCAGGACGGGGTGTCGGGTGGCAAAGTGTGGGAGGAGAGGCGTGGGCACGCGGGATGTTCCTCCCGCCCTCAGGAGCTTTCAGGTAGTGAAATGAAAAACTGGGATTTAGCTGAGCAAGGTGGCACACACCTGTAATCCCAGCACTCAGGAGACTGAGGCAGAAGGATCACTGAGACTTCAGGCCAGCCTGGGCTACATAGTGAAACCCTGTCTCAAAAAAAAAGAAAAAACTTGGACCTAAAGTTTAGGAGTTCTGGCCTCGGCTCAAACTGGACCCAGGATAATTCATTTTAGGCCTCCTCTGGCTGGGTGCTTTCTTTGACTGTCCCTGTCACCGTGCATTATAATCTTTGGGGGTTAACTTTGTATTGATACATTAGAGATATACCTAAGGATCCCATTCATCGTAAAGAATTTGTGCCTGTACAGGATGTATCTTGGTTCTTCTCTTTTTCCCATTCCCCTCCCTTTTTTCCCTTCACCCCCTCTTCCCCTCCTTATTTTTTCTTTTTCTTTTCCTCCTCATTTCCATTTTTTCCTTCTATTCTTTTTTTCCTTTTCCCTTCCTTCCTTTCCCCCTCACCCCTGTTGTTCTTCTCATTTGAATATTTTTTCCCATTTCCCAATATCTATTATAAATTTTGATCCTTATTTCCACTTTCGGTTTCTCACACCAGAGAAACAATTTAAACATATGTACCCGATTTATTTCACTTAAGAGCATGGTGTCAAGGTGCATCCATTTAGCTAGAAATGTCTCAACCTCATCCTTCTTTTTTTGGGGGGGTACCGGGGATCAAACTCGGGTCCTTGTGCTTGCAAGGCAGGCACCAGAACCACTGAGCTAAATCCCCGACCCTCAACCTCATCATTCTTTATGGTAGAGTCGTACTCCATTGTATAAAAACCCCACATCTTTATCCATTCATCAGTTGATGGGCATTTTCCAAGATTTAGCTGTTACAAACTCTGCCACTATAAACATGGGTGTGCATATATCGCTATGGTATGATGCTTTTAATTCTTTCAAGAAGATATCGAGAAGGGGAATAGAAATGGTTAAATGGAACTTCTAGTTTTAGTTCTTTGAGGAATCTCCATACTGATTTCCACAGTGGTTGCACCAGTCTACACTCCCCCCAACAGCAGAGAAGAGTTCCTTTCTCCTCATAGCCCTGCCAACATTTGTTATTAGTTGATTGCTTGATAACAGTCATTCTTTCCAGAGCAAGATGGATTCTCGGCATTGTTTTAATTTGCATCTCTCAAATGACCAGTGATGTTGAATATTTTTTCATATATTTATTTGTCATTTCTCCTTCATCTGAGAAGTGTCCATTCATTTCAGATGTCCATGTTTGGATTAAGTATTTAAATTGGGGGGGGGTCTGATTTTTTTTGAGTTCTTTATATATTTTAGATAGTCTTTGACTGAGGAACAGCTGGCAAAAAAATTTTTTCCCACACTGTGGGCTGTTTCTTCACTCTGTTGGTGATTTTTGTTGTGCAAATGCTTTCTAATAAGATGAGATCCCAGTTGTTGATTCTTTGTGATACTTCCTGTACAATCAGGTTTTGCTCATAAAGTTTTTGCTACAAAAAAAAAAATTTAAAAAAAAGTTTTTGCTACGCCTATGTCTTCAAGAGTTCTACCTAATCCATCTTCTAGCAGATTTAATGTTTCTGTTTTAATACTTAGATCTTTGATCCATTTCCATTTTAGCTTAGTCCAGGGTGAAAGATATAGGTCTAGTTTTAATCTTTGGCATGTGGAAACCCAGGTTTTCCTGCACCATTTATTAAAGAGGCTTTCTTCCAGTGAAGGTGTGTGGGTCCTTTGTCAAAGATAAGGTGGCTGAGTGTGTCTGGAGTTGTTTCTGCATCTTTTAACCTGTTCCATTGATCCTCGGGCCTGTTTTTTTTTTGGGTTTTTGGTACTGGGGATCAAAATCCGGACCTTGCACTTGTGAGGCAGGCAGTGGAACCACTGAGCTAAATCCCCAGCCCCTTGTTTTGTTTTTTTCCCAATACCATGCTGTTTTAATCACAGAAGCTTTGCAGTATAATTTTAAGTCAGGGATTGTGATGCCCGCTATCTTGCCTTTGTTGCCCAGAATTGCTTATTCTAGGTCTCTTCTAGTTCCAAATGAATTTTTGGATTCTCTTCTCCAATTCTGTGAGGTATGCTATTGGTTTTTTGTTTTGTTTTGTTTTGTTTTTGTTTTGAACCAGGGATCGAACTTGGGACCTTCTGCAGGCGGCAGAACAACTGAGCTAAATCCCCTGCCCTGCTATTGGTATTTTGATCAAGATTGCATTAGATCTGTGTAACAGTTTTGGAAGTATGGCCATTTTCACTATATTGGTTCTTCCTACCCAAGAACAAGAGATATTTTTCCATTTTCTGATATTCTCTTTGATCTCCTTTTTCAGAGTACTGTAGTTTTCAATGTAAAGGTCTTTTACTTCTTTCTTTAGATTGATTCCTAAGTATTTCTATTTTGGTACCAAGGATCGAACTCGGGACCTTGCGCTTGCTAGACAGGCACCAGAACCACTGAGCTAAATCCCAGCCCCTAAGTATTTCTTTTTTGGGGATGCTATTGTGAAAGGTATGGTTTCCTTAATTTTTCTCTCAGTAAATTTTTTACTTGTGTACAAGAATGCTATTGATTTTTGAGTGTTGACTTTGTATCCAGCTATGCTAATGAATTTGGTTATTAAATCTAGAAGTCTTTTGGTGGAGTTTTTGGGGTCTTCTACGTATCACGTTATGCTTGAATAATGATTTTTTTTTTTTTGGTACTGTGGATCGAACTCAGGACCTTGCACTTTCGAGGCAGCCAGCGGCACCACTGAGCTAAATCCCTGGCCTGAATAATGAAAATTTAACGTCTTCCTTTTTTTTTTTAACTTCTTCCTTTTCTATCCTTATTCCTTTTATTTCCTTCTCTTGGCTAATTGGTGAGGCTAATGTTTCCAGAACTGTATTGAATAAAAGTAGTAGTAGTGGACATCCTTGTCTTGTTCCTGATTTTAGAGTGAAAGCTTTCATTTTTTGTCCATTTAGTATGATGTTGGCTGTTGGCTTGTCATAGATGGCTTTTATCAAATTAAGATAAAGATCATCTATTCCAATTTTCTGTAGGTTATTTTTTAAATCATGAATGGGTGGCGGACTTTGTCAAATGCTTTTTCTACATCTGTTGAGATGACCATATGGTTTTTGTACTTGGCTCTGTTAATATGGTGTATTACATTGATTGATTTATGTCTATGATGTATAATCTTTTTTTAAATTTTTTGGTACTGGAAATTGAACTTGGGTCCTTGTGCTTGCAAACCAGGCGGTGGAACCACTGAGCTAAATCCCCAGCCCTATGATGTATAATCTTGATGATTTGCTGCATTCTGTTTACCAGTATCTTATTGAGGACTTTTGCATCTATGTTCATTAGGGAGTTTGGCCTGTAGTTCTCTTTTTTGGTTGGCTCCTTCTCTGTTTTGTTTTGGTACTGGGGATCAAACTCGAGTCCTTGCGCTTGTGCAGCAGGCAGCGAAACCACTGAGCTAAATCTCCAGCCCCCGCGTTTTGTTTTTTGAGGTAGGTCTCCCTTTGTACTTCAGGCTGACCCTGAACTCACAGCGATCCTCCTGCCTTTGCCTCCCAAATTTTGGGATTACAGGCATGCACCACGGTGGCCAGCTCCTTCTCTGGTTTTTGTAGCAGGGTAATACTTCCTTCCAGGAATGAATTTTGGAGTATTTCTTCCCTTTCAATTTCACTGAAGAGTTTGAGAAGTAGCGGCAGAAGGTCATCTCTAAATTTCTTGTATAATTCAGAAGTGAATCCCTCAGGGCCTGGGCTATCAGAGGCCGATCAATCCACCAACTGCCTAGAAAGGGGGACAGCAAGGGCTAAAGAAAAAAAGAAAATAGAAGCTTGTGTAATTTCAAAGTATATGGGGGCTAGGAGGTCAGTGCCTCAGAGTGGACAGAAACAAGGACTCTCCAGGGCTGGGGATTTAGCTCAATGGCACTGCGCCTGCCTTGAAAGCGGGTGTTAATTTCCACGTATTTATGAAGTTCTTGTGGTTTTTCATTGATTTCCAATTTCATTGCACTATGGTCTGATAATATGCATGGGATAATTTTAATTTCTTTGCATTTCCTTAAGCATGTTCTGTGAGCTAGTATGTGGTCTATTTTGGAGAACATCTCATGTGCAGCTGAAAAGAATGTGTATTCTGATGTCGTGTGGTGGAACACTCTGTAGACATCTACTAAGTCCATTTGTTCAGAAGTTTGGTTCAGGGCTGGGGATTTAGCTCAGTGGCACCGCACCTGCCTCAAAAGCACAAGGTCGTGAGTTTGATCCCCAGTACTGCTCCCCCCCAAAGAAGTTTGATTCACTTCTGATATTTCTTTGTTGATTTTTTTGTCTAGTTGATCTATTTGACAGTGGGGTATTGAGGTCCCCATTACAATTGTATTAGTGCTTATTTGATTTTTCATGTCCATTAATATTTGTTTTGTATAGTTGGGTCCACTGGTATTTGGTGCATATATATTTATGATTGTCATCTCTTCCTCTTGGATTGTTCCCTTTACAAGGATGTAGTGACCTTCTTTGTCTCTCT